AGGAACACATCACTTCAGGTAATCATCTGCAGCTTTTTATAGGAAGTGGCCTTGCTGGGGCTTGTGATCCCAAACTTGAGGTTATGAAAGGTACTTGGCTTTTAATTTAATTGGTGTCTTCAGTGGAAGTCTTCCTGGTGGAGTGGGGCTATATAGCGTGACTGGACCTTGTTGTTTTTCTTTCCTTAGGAGCTCTTCTTGGTGAAGGGGGAGATGGTCATAGCTGCCTTTATGGTCTGATGTTGAGATTCATTTCTGGCTGCTGCCTGCTGACTTAGGCAGTGAGGGACTCTGTAGAGACATGCTAGTAGCTGTTTGAGGGCCAAGGTGATAAATATATCTTTTGAATCTTTGTAATTTCTGTTCCTCATATGATAATAGTCTGATTCAGTTGTAGCTGGGCTTCTCTTTTTCTTCTGCGGTCCTCAGGTCTAGCTTCATATCATTGCTGTCTCTGCCCTCTCTTTTAAATTCTCTTTCTTTTAGTTTTGAAAACCACACACTTGCACTCAGCTGTTGAATTAGGCCTTAGAAGCTGCTCATGTTTCTCAAACTGGGCAGCAGAGCCTTTTAAGATTTTGACGTAAAGTACATGAGACTCATTTGGAATTGGTTTTAGTTTTAATTTGTTGTTCTGGCCTTGTCTGTCTGATGCATCATGAGTGAGTGTCTTTTTGAAGGTTGGGCAATGTCCAGAAGAGAAATTACTTTCCAGCAGCCAGTGGAACAATCTGAAGTTTCAGTGCTTTATTTTGGACTTGGTGCAGCTTTGCTCTTACAACTGCAGTGTGTCTCAAATCACAGTCGCAAGCAAGGCACTGAGCTCCCTAGCTAAGATTTACAGAGTTCTGAGTGGGGTTTTTTAGGTTTTGTTGGGTTTTTTTCTCCCTGGTGGTTTGATGCCTCTTGGAGAAGGCTGAGCGCCGTGTTTCCTTGCAGCAGTGGTGCAGGCTTTCCGGGACCTGGTCTGGCTGTGTCCCCAGTGCACAGACGCCGTGTGCCGGGCACTGCCTGGCTGTGAGGATGCCCTCCAGGACAGTGAGGTGAGGTGGCCTTGTGCTGTGGGCTGGCAGTGGCTGAGGGTGGGTGGACAGGGACTGTGTGGCTTTCCTTTGGCTCACAACTGGCATGTGTCTTGTTCTCCTGTATCTATTTCATGTCAGCTCTCCCTCTCTCTAAGCAGCACCTATTTGCTTTTTGTCATGGGGTTCCTTCAGGGCAAGCAAGCACTGATCTGGCTCCTGGGCACACATGGTGAGAAGGTTCCGAATGCCCCCTATGTTTTAGAGGACTTTGTGGAGAATGTGAAATCGGAGATGTTCCCAGCAGTGAAGATGGAGCTTCTGACAGCCTTGCTGCGACTTTTCCTGTCGCGTCCCGCCGAGTGTCAGGACATGCTGGGGAGACTGCTCTACTACTGCATTGGTGTGTTCCCTGCATTCTCCTTCACTGAAGCTGTAGTACAGGCTTTTTCAGACCTGGTTTGGCTGTGTCCGCAGCGTGTGGGTGCCATGTGTCAGCATCCTTGCTGTGAGGAGACAGCTGGGATGGCAAGGTAAGGTGGCTTTATGCTAAGGCTGCTCCTTGGCCCCTGGTGTCTGGTTGGTGAGTGTAACAGGCTTACACTGTATCCCTGGGAATCTGTTCTGTAATTGAGGGCTAGTACTTTGGGGGACTCTGGATGATAGAATTCTCCATAAATTATGTCCCTCTCATTCCCAGAGGAGGAGATGGATATGGCAGTACGAGACCGTGGATTGTTCTACTATCGCCTTTTGCAGTCTGGTGTGGAAGAAGTGAAACGGGTCCTGTGCAGCCCCAAGTCTGACCCCTCTCTGGGGCTCTTGGAGGACCAGGCTGAGCGGCCCGTGAATACATGGGCTTCAGAGTTTAATACTCTTGCTCCAGTTTATGGCAAGGAACGCTGGGCACTCGTCACTGCTCACCAGCCAGCAGAAACTTCTTATGCATTTTCTCCTTGTGCTGACTCCAGGACCAGAGACACAGGTAACCTGCCCCACCTTCACTGGGGTCTGTTTTCCTCTTGTCAGTAGATGTTCTCACATGTTCTCACATCTGAGTGAGATCTCACATGTGAGTTTCTTTGGAAGAAGATCACTGTGCTTTGAGAATACTGTCTTAGTGTTCTGACTGTCCTGCACAGTGCATGACTGATGGCTGCTGAGGGCACTGTGATTCCAATCCTTCATCTGATGGCTCCATAAGATGTTCTTTGTGAAACTGGGAGCTGCACTTTACATGCTGCATCTCACACATTTGTGGTTTCATTTCAGAGTCACTAATTTCTGAAGGGAATACCAAAGTCCTCAAGGTTCATCCTGATACAAGCAGTCTCACCTTAATTCCTGATGTTTACCTGACTGCAGAACAGTTTGAGAAGACCTGGCTGAGCTTGGACATGAGCTGCCACCTCTCTCTGCCCTGGTGTGGGACTGTTCATCCAGATACCATGCAGACGGCTCTTCACATTGTCCACATTCAGACTATTGCAATGAGCAGAGCTGGTGTCCAGCCATGGAAAGCTTACCTCAGTGCTCAGGATGGCACAGGTTGCCTGTTCCTGACAGAGCTCTTGCTCCAGGCAGCAGGTTCAGAGATGCAGGTTGTGGTGAAGCAGAGCGAGGCGAAGCCAGAGGCACTGCAGGCATTCACGTCCATGTTGAGGACAATTATGGGAACACTTGCTGGGCTGGGGTCCTGATTGTTCCCTGCTCCCTGTGGGATGCTTGCTCTGGGCACAGCAAAAGTTTATTTTTCTGGCTTCATTTTCCTTATCTGATGCTGGTTTTGTGCTTTTAAGCTGCAGGAGTGTTAGCAGCCCTTTCCCAAGCCTACCAAGCATGGGTGGTGTGGGGGCAGCTGCAGCTGGTGGATGGGGCAGGGCAGGGCAGGTGGTCTGTCTTGCTGCTGGGTTGGGGAAATGACAAGGTAAACATTTGTGAGCCTGCTGCTTCAGGAATGAGTCACAGAAGTGGTGGCACCTATGGTGATTGTCACAAGACACCAATGTGACTGATGGAACCAGAAATGAGCAAAATTCAGGATGTTTTGGAGAGGTTTTTTCATGAGAATGGTAAATCATTTAAAAAAACAGTTCAGTGACTCCAGGAATCTGTTAGTTGTATCAGGCTCAGAGGAACAGTGCAGTGTAGAGAAGTGTTTTGTTCCTTGCTCCTTTGAGGTGTGGTTTGCCTTTGTCTGATGGATGGATTTTGACAGGAGCTTCACTTACAGGTGAATGGAGCTTGGCTGTGTCAGAGGTGGGTGGACAGGGTACATCATGCTCACTGGAAATAGTATGTTTCTTTTTCAACAGAGATAAATGTATTTTCTTGTTGAAATGTGTTACTGTAGTGATGAATCACCCTCTCAGAAATTCTCTCCTCAAGGCTACTGTAAGGAGAGCCCAGAGAGTGCAGGTTGTGTAGTGTCTTGAGTTCTGTAGCCTGTATCACCTTGGCCATGTCAGTGAACTGTCTGTCCAGTGGAAGAATTGCTGTTCAGATAATTAACCTCTATGGAATATTAAATTTTTGCTGATACTGGTGTATTTTGTGAGCATTTGTGAGCGTGGTGGGAGGGTACTTTAATCTACCCTCTAAGAAACGGACCCTCAGCGGCCGTTCCTCTGAGAGAGGTGGACGCTCGGGCTTTTTTTTAACAAACCTCTCCTCACTGTGGGGGGAAGTCACAAAAACATCCTGACAGCCGGTAGCCCCCAGGTACCGGCTCACGACAACTGGTTTTTACCATTTGTTATTTTGTAACTAGATGGGGTGTGTAAAGGTTTGTTTTCTGTGTGGTACTTACTTCTGCACAGTAAAGTCATCCCATCCTCAGTACAGTGCAGGACAGGGTTCAGTGACTAAATTTTTACAGTTTTTAAAGTTAAACTCTGGCCAGCCTCAAGACTTGTTTTTTGAAGAGCATGTTGACAGCATTTCATGTGCTCTATTGAATTCAAGATATGGAGCGTTGGACTTTGTAAGTGTCATGAAAGTGTCCTTGTCACAGCCTTGTTTCACACAGTGGTAAAATCCTGGTTCTCTAAGATTTCTTGTAATGACTGGCATACCTTGAAAATGCAATATGCCTTCTATGGACTTCACTGAAACACTGCTGCCACAGTTAAACAACAGGCTTTAGATTGTCTTTCTGTTTTTCCTAATAAAAATGTGAATCATTCCTGACTGTTTTCTGGAGTACTTGTTTGTTCAACTCTGAAGTCTGTGGGATGGAGTCATCCAGTCTCTGCTGTGGATCCAGAGGGAACCTCAGTGCAGCTCCTGCCTCTGAGTCAGTGGGGGCTTTTCTCTCTCAACTTCCTGGTAGGCTTTCAGATGCAATTGTGGAACAAGTTATTTCAGCCTCATATGCCACGTTACTGTAACAGGTGAGCTGCCTAGGCGTGAATTCAAAAGTAGATGAGAAGTCAGCTCTAGCAGGGCTCCTATTACCAGTTTCCAGTGTCTTTCTGCATGTGTTGTATTCCTGTCCCTACGGAGAGCTGCACTGGAGCATTGGCTTTATGCAGTGTTCAGAAAAAAAATGTTCAATAGCTCGTTGGCAAGCTCATTTTATCTGCTGTGGCTACACCAGACTTGTCTTTTTCTGGGATGAGACTTGGGACTTCTAGCCTTTTTATCCAGACTCCTTTCTTGATCAATGAAAGGGTCAACAGACTTTGATAGCTTGTAAATGCTGATTTCCATTAATCTTAACAGAAATGGCCTACTGTGAAAATAAACCACACCCATTACCTGAACGGGGGCAGCTGGGAGAACAGTATTGGCATGTTGAGCTGTCCTGGGGAGTGGCTTGGGTCATAGTCTTCCCAGAAATGCAGTTCTAGGAAAAGGAAGCCAAACTGCAGAGTCAAAGCTGCCCTGCAGCGCGGGGACACACAGCGATGACAACCTTTGAGAAGCAGACCGAGTGCGTTGTGGAAGCCTTGTTCTCTGACCTCTTCAGTGAAGATGAGACTCAGTGTAGGAGCCTGGAGACAGACTGTGGAGGTAGGGCCTGGGGGGAGGAAGAAGGGTTGGTTTGCTGCAGGTAGCAGAGGAACGCTCTGACTGAACACCTGAGGGCAGGAGGCTGTAGCTCAGGGCTGGGTTTCCTGCAATGCAGTCTTGTGATGACTTCCAAGCTCTGTCTGTTTGGGGGGAAAAGTCTGGGTGAGGTAAAGCTGTTTGAAGGCTCAGCCTGCCTGGGCAGAATGGACCGTGGGGGCTGAGGGAGGGATGGCCACCCCTTCCTGCTCCCTGTGCTGTGGCACAGGCTGTGCTGGAGGGATGGTGTTACTGCCTGTGCTGCAGGTCCTGGCAAGGAAGCTCATACTGCTTATTGGATAAAACTGGTTGCTTTAATGTATAATACAGATTCAAAAAGCTCCCAATATAATTTGGACTACCTTAGCTTGCTGGGCATTGCTGCAAGAAACCCAGCATTTCACCTGCGTTCATATAATTTTCCCCATCTTGGACCAGTTAAAACGTCCCAAGAGACACTGGGATCTTGCTGACAACAGGTAGCAAGAAAAGTCTATTTCTCAAAAGCTTCATGGAAGTTTGTTGTTTTGCCTAATGAAAAGTCTCTGTTAGAGTATTGCATGTTTCCTTCTCCTGGATAAGACGCTTCCGCTTCTGCTGTCCTGAGCTCTGTGAAACTGTCCCAGGCCCCGGGAGATGCAGGTTCTGCGAGTGCCGGCACCTGAGTGGGAGGAGCTGGGCTGGAATGAGGGAGGGGACTTGGATCAGGAAGCGATGCCTCCGGATAAAGTTACCCACGACTTTATGTCGAAAGATCCTGCTTTCAGTTCCTTAGGACTTAGTCAAACATGGAAACGGTTTTGCTGAAAATGTCAGTATCCTGTGGATCCTTCTGGTTGGACCTTGGTTTGGTAATATTCAGAAAGAAAAAAAACAATCATATTCTGTTGGTTTTTTCCCCTCAGGTGCTTTAAGAGGAAATGCTGTAACTGAGGTGCTCATTAGCTGAGAAGTTCTAAGAGTTTTATACACTTGAAATTTGTAAAGTATGCCTTTTGTCCCTCTGTGAGAACCTTCCCTGATTTGGGTTGCCATGAGACTTTGAAATGTTGCAATCTGCACTTTCTCACAAGAGAGGCTTTGAGTATAATACCCGAATTCTCCCAAGACTGCACGGCAGGACCAGCAGCCTCGGGTTGCTGGGGGTGCAGGCAGGATTCTGCTGTCCGAGCGGTGCTGCTGCGTCCCTGCAGGCGGGAGAGAGAAACGAGATGTTTCCCAACTCCTCTGAGCTTCCCTCCCTGCTTATGGCAGCCTAGCAGGGATGAGCTGGCAGAAACTTGGAGGGGTAAAGAAGTGGTGTTAGGGATGCCCTTGGAGAAAGAAGCGTGGGGATGAACTGAGACTTGAGCATGAAGCAGCCGAGATGGGAGGAAAGAAACCTGGACAAACCCACGGGGCAGAGCCCCCTGGTCCCTGTCCATCAATGCACCCTTTGTTAGGGGCTTTGGTTTTACATTTCCTAATGCTTCTGGTCAGAGGTCTACCCTGCATTCACCTCCCGAGCACTTGAGGCGGGAACTGCAGCATTTGGGGGGCAGGGGCAGGGGCAGCGCCGGGGCAGCCTCTGCTCCCTCCTCCTGAGCCCCCCGCCCGGCTGAGCCCCCCGCCCCTCCTGCCCTAGGGCCCGCCCAGGCTGCCTCGGAACCTCCGCCCGCCTTCGACCCCGTCCTGGTCGCCAGTCGCCTGCGGCGGATGGGGGACCAGTGCAACCTGGATTTTGAAAGGGTTTCCTCAAAGGATCTTGCGGAAGTGCTGGAGGGAAAGGTAAAGCGCAAGTGCAGGAATTTAACTGAATGTTGGATTTTGAGCCAAGACTTCTTTATCACACTGTCATTTACAAAGAAGCTCAAACTGCATTCTCACTTCTTGCAGATGGAGAAGTTTGAGGCTGCTGTGGGCTCTCTCAGCAGCACCTGGAGTGCCCAGAACCCCGAGATGGCCTACGAGATAGCTTTTCTCTCTGTTTCTGTGAAATTGATAATGCATGTTGCTAAGAAAATCCCAGCTATGGTGCATCCTCACCAACTCATACAAGTGATTAATGGAAATCCTCAAGTGAGGAGCTACATCGAGGCCCGTGGTGGATGGGTAAGGATGTGAAGGGGCTGGTGCTCTTTGCCTGCACCTTGATGGCTCTTCCCGTGAGTCTCTTGCCCCTCCTGCCCACCTCACTTGGCTCCTCACTGGTGCCCAGCATGTCCCCCTGCTGAGGGAGCACAGCTTGGATAAACACCTCAGAGAGGTCGGTCTGGGATCAGCAACAAACTTCCCTTCTGCTGCTCTGTCTCAGGGTGCAATTCCTTATCTCAGTATCCTGGGAGCTCAACATGCTCCCTCAGACACCATCGAAGTGATGAAAGATGTGCTGTACAAAAAGTGCTGTCCTGCTCATACAGCTTTACAGACCCAGCCTGGGGCCTTTTAGTAGGGGAAGGGATGAAACCTCCAAAAGGAGGAGGGTTGCTTGTCTCTACATCCCGCATCCTCTTCCTGACACTTCCCTCAGACCTGCCTTGAATTCTTTCTCTAACAAGCATACACATGGGTTTTTTTGTTTTTGTTTGTTTGTTTGTTTGTTTGTTTTTTCAGGAGAACTTGGAAAACTGAGAGAAAGGGCAACACTACTTTCCAGAAGATAATTTAACCAGGAGAAAGGCTGTTGTATTTCTTCAGGAGGCTGTGAGCAGAACTCTGCACATAAGCAATGTGTAAAAGAGATTCTGTATCACTAGGAGCAAAAATTAATAAATTTTTGTTGTTATTAATTTGTTTTATCTTCCTGTGTTTCTCTTTAGCCATAAAAGTGGACTTCAGTCTTACTCAAGGTTTCTAGGTTAGTGCTATAGTGCCGCAGACTCATCAGGTGAATATTTCTTTGAAAACATGTTTCCATTAGTTATTCTAAAGACCTATTCTGTTCTTCTCAGGTGATTTAAAGGCTTCTTTTTATTGAAAATTGACATTATTTTAAACTAAAAGTGATGGCTCTTCCAGGGTGCTCAGCAGCCCTTTGCCTTTTAGCAGCCAGATACAGAAATCTTGTAGCTATTCTGTACCTGATCTGCAAGAAAGGACAGGAGGGGAGCATCACGTATCAAGGCACCTGAAGTACTCTTTCAAAATATTTTTCAGGTAATGTGGAAAACAGGCAAAATGTGAATTGTGTGCTGTTTCAGGGAATCTTCTAGTGTAGTTATTTGACCACAATATGTTACGTACTAATTTCCTTTGAGGCTGGTGGTGAAGTCAGTAACCGCAGCCGCGCTGGCGCTGCCCGGGCTGGTGCTTTCCGCTCTGCACTTGACATGATCCGTTCCCAGGTTCGGAGGGACCGTCGGCATCGGGCTCCAGCAACATGGACCAAAGGGAGATTCTGCTGCAAAACCTGGAAAGGGCCCAAAGGAAGAAGCTCAACCGAGAAGAGTTTGCAGACGAGTTTTTGGTAAGTTCACTTCAGGCACGGCTCTGCGTTTCAGTTGATTTTAAAGGGAACCACTCAGTCACTTCTCCAACAGGGACAGGATTTCTATGTGACAAAGAGATTTTCTATTAATTTTATAGCAGAAAGAGACATAGGAGTTGATTGAGGTAAAAGGAATGTAAAGACAGAAGAGTAATTTAATAACTTTAATTTAAAGTAAAACTCTGTGCTTTTTACATGATTACCCAAGTGCTTCCTGTTTTCTGCTTGGTTAATGTGCTTGTCAAGACGCAGTTTCACTTCGCCTGGTGGTATAACTGGGGGTATCGTGAGGAAATGGGGCCACTGCCCCTTCCCTGTATTGCAGCTTGTTCTATCTGTGTCCCACCTGTTCCTGTCAGGGACCTGGGTAGCTTTTCCTCTCTTCATTTCAACAGAACCCTCCACCCTGCTCCGGTACCACCTGCAGAGCAGGGTGGGGGGTTCAGGGAAGCGCTCTGTGGACCCGGGACTGCTCCACCTCTCATGGGCACCTTGGTGGAGGTGTGGGAAGATGCCATCTGAGCTGCTGGACTCTCCAGCTGCCAGTGCTGTTGTCTGGAAGGGCTTCTGCATCCATTTGCTCTGTCTCCAGTGGTGCTTCTGCCGCCCGGAAATTAATTTATTGTTCCCTGAAGGCAAAACTGGCAGAAAATGATGATGGCTTTCACCTTCCTTGGTGCTCTGCAGTGTCTCACTGGTTGAGTCTGTGCAGTTCCCCAGTCTGTGAGCGCTCTGGCATGTTTTTATTTGTTTGGGTGGCAGGGGTGAGCCTTAGATCACAATCCAGGGTCTCACAGTTGAAGCTGAGGCAGCAACGGCTCTGGAAGGCTGCCTGGGCTGCTCTGAGCAGCAAAGGCATTGCCCAGATTCAGAAGACATAGGGAAGTGTAAAACTGGTACATAGCTGAGATGTGATATGTCTCGAACACCAGAATAACCACTGGCTCTGAGCTAACCCCCCTGGAGAAGAGCTGCATCAGGCAGTGATCTCTGGGGAAGGTCACTAAGGGTTCCTTGGGAGATCCATCCCTGCTTTGTTGTTGTACTGGTGAAGACTGGCACTTCAAACACTTGGAAAAAGCTTAGTGCTTGGTTTCCAGGTGCCTGGGCTGGAGGGAAGTGATTAATCAGTCTGCAATGACAGTCTGTTGTTCCATGGAACAAAGCGCTGTCACCGGCTGCTGAGTTTCCGCCTCCCGCTGCGGCGCCCGGTGAGGCAGCAGCCCGGGCAGCCCTGGCACATGGGCTGGTTCTGGCAGTCACATGTACTGTCAGTTTTCTGACCAAAATAGCAGGTAGAAGTGGTCAAAGCTGTGTTTCCTGGTGTTCTGGGAAGAGATCTTTCCAGGGCGGCCACTTTTTCAAGTTAACAGGGCACTGTGAGGGCTGCATTGCCAGACTTGGTAGAAATGTTTGATGCTATTTATCCATCCTAATGCCTCTCCCCTCTATGTGAACAAGCATTTGTACATGCAAATTGTGCTGGTGTTACTGTAATGACAGCCTTTTTTTCCCTTCACCTTTCTCTTTTACCAGTGCATGCAGCTACTTTGCTCTGATTGCTTGTGCTCCTTCGGTGGCTTGAGCATTGCTGTTTGCAGCTACAAGTGGGGGGAGCATCTTTACTAAAGTGAGAAAAATAAATTAATTAATCTGACATTTCTGATATAATTTGTTAAAGGTGGTTTAACATGGTTACTCCTCTTACCTGGGTGTCATTTACACTGAGAATAACTCCCCTATGTCTCACTTGTTTGTGAGGGTGATGCTTTATGTGATGTGTAAATGCATCACATCACTTCAGAAGCCTACATGCCCCAGCCTCGTGTGGGCACTGCCTCAGCACACACTTTCCATTCCTCACAAGCCTGTGCTGGGGCTCTCAGGTGACTGCTGTCTCTGTTCTTGTTCTGAGTACCTTGAGAGAAACCACTCAGGAAAGAATTAATGGTGCAGATCGTGCTTCGTGGTAGTGAACCTGACCCCTAGAGACCTTCACACATACTCTCTAGTAGTGTATTGTCTGTAGCACATCTGCTGTCATTTGTTCCATTCTTTTATCATAGAAGCTGAAAAGGCAGTCAACAAAGTACAGAGCGGATAAAATCTACCCTGCAGCAGCATCTGAGCAACTAGAGAACATAAAGAAGAACAGATACAAGGACATCCTTCCCTGTAGGTTGGAAATGGCAAATACTCCTATTCAGCCCTTTTTTCCCTACCTTCAGTCCTACATAGAATCATAGAGTAATTTTTGTTAGAAATGACCTGTGAGATCAAGTCCAACCATTAACCCAGCACTGCCAAGCCTACCACTAAACCATGTCCCCAAGTACCATATCTACTTGTCTTTTAAATACCTCCAGGGATGGTGATTCCACCATGTGCCTAAGGCAGCCTGTGCCAGTGACTGAAAACCCTTTCAGTAAAGAATTTGTTCCTATTACCCAATCTAAACCTCCCCTCAGGCAACTTGAGACTGTTTCCTCTTGTTCCTTGGGATAAGAGACTGACCCCAACCACACTCCAGCCTCCTTTCAGGCAGCTGTATCTGCCAGCACTGTTGCCTGCATGAGTGTATCACTGGCTGTCCATTGGCCTTGAATTTTGTTTGGATTTAAGCCTTTATCTTTGACAGTAGCAATGCATGCTCTGGAAGACTCCCCTCAGCTCTGGAGGAGACCCTGCCTGTCTGGGGCTTTCCTCTGGGCACTGGCAGTTCAGGGTGGAGCCATCGGGGCAGGAGCAGTTGTTGCTGCTTGCACAGCCACTCATCTGCTCTGGGATGAGCTCTCTGGTGTATGTGCTCCTCCAAAGCACCTCCTGCTGCAGTCTGAGGAGCTCACCCACTGTGAAGGGCAAACAGTAACTACTGCTGCTTCTGCTTTTGTGCCTGCAGTTGACCACAGCAGAGTGGAGTTGTCCCTGATCACATCAGATGCAGATTCTCATTACATCAATGCCAACTTCATCAAGGTATTGCTTCTTCCATGGTGTTTTGCAGTGCAAAGGTGTACGTAGCAGCTGCTAGTGCTACCTGGTTGAGTTGTGCCAGGAGGAGCAGGTCCTGCAGCTCTGGTGAGTGCAAGGTGTGTGGGCTGTGCTCCAGGACAGCTGGTGTGAAGGATGTCCGGCCAGTGAGCCCTCCAAAACCAGCCCTAGCAGCAGAGGCACCAGGGAGGTGCTGCAGGGCAAGGTGCTGGTGCTGGGGCAGGTGGTGGAACAGTTTGTGGCTTCCAGCCCTGACTTCCTTGACAGTGTGACTGGTGTAAAGTGGCCTGTGGCCAGAATCACCTTGGCTGAGAGCAGTGGAGAGGCAGGAAACCTTGCACTGCAGCACGGCTGAGGCCCACAGCAAGCCACAGGGCAGGCTGGCCCTCCAGCAGGAGCTCCATGTGTGCTCACAGCCCTCCCTGATGGGTGGATAGAAGGTTTCCTTCGTTCTCCACCACAGTGACCAAGGGCTCTGTGCAAACCATCTGCAAAACAGACCTTCCTGAGGGGATCACAGGTCACTCTTTGGCCAACAGCCACAACTGTGCCAAGTTGTGGAGCTTGAGCAGATATTGCAACATGACCTCTGAGCTCCCAAAAGCACTGCAGGAACTGGTGGTCTCTGGGAGCAGATGCCACCTCAAGCCCAGCTCCCTGGCTTGGGTGTGCCTTTGGGAGGCTGGCAGTCCAGTGGTTTTTGGTTGCTTCATTGAATGTAGGTGCCTAAAATTCAACTATGTAAAAGCCCTCCTAAATCCTTAACAGGGTCATTGAAAAGAAGTAAGATTCAGAAAGAATTATTGATTGTGAGCTGTGCAAAGATGTCTTACTGTCTGGTTTGAATGTTGTAGGGTGTCTATGGGCCAAGAGCATACATTGCAACCCAGGGTCCTCTCTCCACTACTGTCATTGACTTTTGGAGGATGATTTGGGAGTATGAAGTCCTGGTAAGGTCTAGATTTATATACCTTTCTGTTTTTTTTAAAAGTTGTCTGTACAGCCAGATAGAAGTCCTTTTTGATTAAGAAGACAGTGGGAATATCAGAGTTTTACTCCAGATCTTGCATGTGCTCTGCATCCTTCCCATGAGCCTCCTCCACACTTGTGATTGGACAGGAGTCTGCTCCTGGCTGTCTCTGCACTCAGGCTCTGAGTGGGAAAGGTCCTTGCTCCCAGGCTGTGGATGGTGTCCCCATGTCTGGCTTAGCAGCCCGGGGCTCTGGGGAAGGCAGCCCACAGGCCTTCCTCATTGCTGATCAGGACCTGCAAGTGATCAGTATAATTTTGCTGGCTGGATGAGAAACTTGTGTTCAAACTTCTCAAAAATGAACCTTCTTTCTGCAGATTGTGGTCATGGCTTGTATGGAGTTTGAAATGGGAAAGGTGAGTAATGTGTCAGAGCTGGCCTCTGCTGTGACAGTGCCAGGGCAGGGTGGACAGATGCGGATTTTATTAAACCTTATTAGGGACAGTGAGTTTCTGTTTGATATGAGCTGTTTCCTGAGTCTCCAGCTGCATATTCTTAAACTGTTTTGGAAGGGAAAAACCAGCAATGATGGCTGCAGGGACAGGAGGCTGGAGCTGGCTGGCAGCATGGGCTGAGCTCCTGCCAGCTGCAGGTTTGTCCTGCAAACTGAGACGGGTGGTGGGTAACCCATCGTGTCCTGCTTCTCACAACAGAAGAAGTGTGAGCGGTACTGGGCAGAGGTGGGCAGCTCTCCCCTGCACTGTGGCCCTTTCTCCATCATCTGTGTGAGTACAGCTGCTGCCTGCAGCTCGGCACACCCCGTGGGCTGGGAACTCGAGTCATCTGCAGAAAATGTGACTCTAACTTCTTCTGCAGGAAACGGAGGAGAAGAAAAAGGAGTATGTGATTAGGACTTTAAAGGTGACCCTGAATGAGGTAGGTAGAAAAGGTCAAGGCAGGACATGTATCTTGGCTATCTTTATTATAGAAAGAATATATTAAAATATGGCACACTTTGTGCAGAAAATTTCATGCTGCTCAGCCTGGTATCTGAGATTTGTCAGTAGCTGAAGGAACAAAGAAAGTAAAAAATGAATTAAGTCAAACTTCAGTTTCTGAAGCTGTTTGTCAGCCATGACAAAGCAGGCCCTGGGTAGGTGAGGCTGACAAGTAACATCAAGAATATAATAAAATGGCAACGCTTCTTTTGCAGCACAAACAGCTGCACGTTGCGTCTCCACCCTCTGCCTGCTGCTGCAGCAGGGAGCAGGAGGTGTCACAGCAGAACTTGCCCCTTTGCCCATGTCCCAGCACCTGCTGGAGCTGCAGCAGCATCCCAGACATTCCAGTGCCCTTCTCCTCTTGCAGGAAATCCGCACCATCCACCAGTTCCACTACAAAAACTGGCCAGACCATGATGTCCCCTCATCCATTGACCCCATCCTGGAGCTCATCAGTGAGATTCGCTGCTACCAGCCTGATGACAATGTCCCAGTCTGCATCCACTGCAGGTGGGCGAGCTGGGGATGTCAGGGAAGGGTCCTGGTGCTCACACTCTTGCCCTCGAGCAGCCCTGGAGACCCTGGGCTCCTCTCCTAGGAAGACCTAGGGCAAAGGTGTCCTCTGAGGACAGCTAGTACAGCTGGGGGAGGGAATGCAGACAGGCAGCAGCAGGCCAGAGATGGCAGGTGCAGTGGAGACCACCAGCACTGGGCATGTCTGCGTGGGGGCTGGTGACTGCAGGAGGACCGAGGCTGTTGTCAGGAGTGGGTGAGGTGTGGGCTGGATGGGGGACACTGCTGCAGGGATGTCCTGGGGATCTGCACCCTCTGTGGTTGGGGCAGGAGGGCGATACCAGGCTGTAGATGCTTCTCAAGTGTCCCTGCCAGAAAAAACAGCGTGCCCACCCTCTGCAACCTGCTGTGACTGTCCTTGCAGTGCTGGCTGTGGGAGAACAGGAGTGCTCTGTGCCATTGACTACACCCAGAAGCTGCTGAGGGACGGGGTGAGTGTCAGTCCAGCCCGGGCCCGCAGCCCTGCACGCTCACTTTCCCCTTCTCACTGCACGCAGGGTATTTCAGGTGGCAGCCACAAACAGCAACTCCCTGCAGCCTGGCTGGAGAGTGGCAGTGGCCAAACCCCTAGCACCTCATTCCCAGTTTGTCTGCAATACAGCTTTACTGTCTATGTCTGTCTCTTCATGCTCAAGAATCAGAAATTCATTGTCTCCAAACTAGCACTTTGCTTCACTCTGTCTCTTCAATAAGATGTCTGTGCAGCATCCCCTGGACTTGCAGCAAGTTGATGGGACTCAAGGAGCAGCTGCTCCTGTTCTGCACAGCCCTGAATTAGACTGCTCTGGATTAGACTTGTCATTTTTCTGTCCTGTATTTTCTCTTTCTTGCAAGATTGTTCCAGTGAACTTCAGTATTTTCAGCCTGATCCAGGACATGCGCACACAAAGACCTTCCATTGTGCAGACCAAGGTATGTCTGGGACATTTCACCAACTGGTGTGCTCCTCATACTGGGAACTCAGTGTGTCTCCAGGAGGGTTTGCAGTAAGGAAACACAGAGGGGTTGCGCTGCTGAGAACTGGGGTGTGCAGGTGTTCTGTAAGGTTCCTTTTCTGAACAAAAGAATGCTTTTCAGAAAGGAATTTGGTAGCTGACCATTTCCTTGAAATAGCTTAGTTCTTGCAGTCTGATTTGTGAGACACTTACACTGTGACACGGGGGACTATCCAGGAAATAAAAGTGGGAACTCTTCTCAGCTGAGATAGACTGAAGAGGAAGCTCAATGCAGAACAGCATTGTTTATGCACCCCAAAAAATCCCAAATGCTTTGGTCTGAACCCTTTGAAGATTGTGGCTTCAACCTTTTCTGAAATTCACCAGTGGACTGGAAAGTGGCAGCCTCCCTTGGGGCTGGTGCTTGGTTTGGGCAAGAGGTGACCATTTACTGGTACTGCTGAGCTAGCTCTCACATGTGTGTTATGTGTCTGTAACACAGGAGCAGTACGAGCTGGTTTATGATGCAGTGATTGAGCTCTTCAAAAGGCAGATTAAAGCCCTTGATGCCCAGGAAGATTCTGCTGCTTCACAGGTAAACCTTACCTTTCCTGTGTAGCTGTTCACAATCTCTCTGAAGGAAATGCATTGCCATTCTTAGGCAAAGGTTGAAGGGTTGCAGTTAGCTCATTTTGTCAGCAGCTTCTGTCTAAAATATTGGGAACAGGATCCTATGGTGGGACTCGTGCCTCAGTTTTGCCATAGGATTTGCAGGGTGTTCCAGAGCTGAGTGAGAAAAGAGCCTCTTTCTATGTGTTGTGCACAGTCTGTAAGCAAAGGAGATGCAAGATGAGGTTCAGAGAAATGCATTAAACAGTTCAAGGCCGGATGTGGTTTTGTAGCTCCTGGCCAAACCTCTTGCTCACCCAAACCTCCTTGCCCTCCGAGAGCCTGTTGCAGAGCATGGGGGCTGGTCACACAACATATCAGAGATGAAACCAGCACCTGACATGCCAGGATGAATGCCCAGGAGGGTTCCAAAGGCAGAGTTGTCTGTGCAGGCTGGTTGGCAGATGTCTGGAACAGCTGGATGGTTGTACAGCTCACTGTACTCTCCTTTCAAAAAGGTGCTGGCAGGAATTGCCATTCAGGAGGTTCTATCCTCTGCTCCACGTTTCTGTTTGTAGTTTCCAAAATGCATTAATATTCACAAGGAGTTGGCAGGAATCCGAAGTCCTGCAATAGCATGTTCATGTTCTTTGCATTCATCCTTCCGACTCTTGTTTTCTAACTTTTTCTTTCACTAGAGACAAACAAGGCACCCTGTAGCCAAGCCACTTCTGACTCCAGTGGAAGATATTTATTCTCTCAGATTACTAACCTGGTAAGGCCACAGCACAAGTGCCCCCTGGGTTAATATTTTCAGTCACCCATTTCGGAAGATGCATCTTTTCATGTGTGCTTTGTGACACAGTTCTGTTTGAATCATGAGTGAATCGTGAACAGGATCTGCAGCTTCCCTGAGTCCCACTTTGACTCTCACATTTGTTCCTAACATAATTCCTGATCTTCTCCCTGATGTGTCCCTGAGCCTGAGTTTCAGCCTCTTCCCTGCCTGCCGTTACCTCTCTCGCTCTTCTTCCCTTGGGGCTGCTCCTGGTCGGTACTCAGTGTCTCACATGTGAACTGGCAACACATCACAGAAGGCAGCTCATGCAGGTGGAGACAGCCCTGTGCTGGCTCCCCCCAGCCCGGCCTGGGAATGGCCCCATCCATCACCTGCATGTGCCAACCCCGTGCCTTGTGCTGTGGGAACAGCAGGCCTGAGGAGTCCAGCTTCCCAACACGGGCAGCCTCAGAGGGTGGCAGGGCCTTTCTATGGGCATGTTTTGGTTTGCAGGGTCTGCTTCCCATAACAGATTTTGCTTTTTGGTACTGTCTGTACTGAGGGTGTAGTTTACCACATAAAGGGGCCTCCTCTGTTCCCCATTGAATGGTGTTCAAATGGGGGCACAGTTCTTCCCTGCGCTCCAGGCTCTGTGTCCCTCGGTCTGCTGTCAGGAGCAATGTTGTGGGGTCTTGTTAGCAGAAATTTCTGAGTACCCAGTGGCTTCAACTTCACATCATGGTGTTCTGTTGCAGCTCAGAGGAAGAGGAACAGGGTCAATGTCTTCCTCCAGTGGGACAAAGCAAAGCACCCCCAACAACCTCTGCCCCGGGAGCAGAGGACAGCTCTGGCCGTGGAGTCCCTCCCATCAGACAGGCCATCTCCTTCGCCCCTCTGGACTTCCTCAGCTGCAGGAGGGCGGCTGCCCCGGGGGAGCAGGGCCCTGGGGAGGCTCTGCAGAAACGCCGCAGCCAGGAGCTCAGCAGCATCTGCCCTGAGCAGCTGCTTCTGCCCCTGGGGCCGCGGGCAGGAGGCAGGAGCGGGTCTGGCCAAGCACCCCTGACACGGGCTGTGTCCACCCCCTTCGTGCTGGCGCAGCAGGGAGAAGGCTGGGAACGGGATGTGAGGGGTGCAAAGCCTGCCCTGAGTTCACAGCTGCCAGGTGCCTGCTGCTCAAGCTTCCAGGTGAAGGAGGACGGTTTTTCCCCTGTTAATCCACATCACTTGAGTCAAGGCCTGGGTGGTGCCCTGAGCCACAGAAACCGCGGGCGATGTCTGTACCCGAACTGCTGCTCAGCAGAAGACCCCTACTTCTCTTCAGTCTCTCCAGATGACCCCGTGTCCCCGGTGTCTGGTGAGTGCTGGGCAGAGGGGCAGGATCTGCTCCTCCCTGCCCCTGCTGTCAGTGCTGTGGCCAGCTCCCCACTGCCCGTGTCCCACCACACTCCTTTGCTGAAGGATGAGACGGTGTCCCCAGGTAAGTGGCGCTGACATCTCACTGCATCTGAGAGAACCAGGCTTCAACATCAGTACTTGTTTGAGCTGCAGCCTTGAAAACACCACCCACCACATGAAGAAGGTGGAATTATCCCTTGGTCTGGTCAGTCCTGGCTCAGTTGGACATTTCCCATTGTCCACAGCTTTGACATTTGCTCAGCTTGGTCCTGCTCAGGCCCTTCAGTGTTCAGTGTCATGGAGTGTGTTTGTTATTGAGATGCCAGAGGCTCTTGGGGGGCTCTGGGGGTTCCCACACAAGCTGAGCAGCAATGAACTTGGCCATGTGCCAGGGGTAAAAAATTGCCATTTTCCCTGTGCAACTGGGATTCTGCTGCTGACACTGCTGGAACTCTGCCCTTGGGCCACAGAGCTAGAGGCAGGTGAGCTGGTGCTGAGGACTATAAGGGTTTTTTAACAACAGTTTAGAGGTGTTTACCCATCACCTCGGGTGCGTGGTTGGGAAACATCTGTAAGCTCTGAGCCTCTGGTCTCTGGTTCTGCTGTGTCTGCTGTGCAGGTTAATCCATCCCTGTCTCCCCAATTAGCCACCCTGCCACTGCCAGATGATGACAATCCTCCACCCCTGCCCGAGCGAACCCCCGAGTCCTTTATTGTGGCCAGTGAATCTGGTAAGTGCATTTAATGAAGCAGGGGCTGACAAGTGCTTTGGGGGCTCTTCCCACATTTGTGCAGCATCCTGCAGTGCCTTTGCTCCTGCTGCCTGGCAAGAGAAATTACCTCTCTCATGTTGAATTCTTTGTAGGACAATTTCCTCTGGCAACTTCTGATTTTCAGCTTCCAGCCAGAAATACAAATATTGGAACCTCTTTTGAGTGGAGTGGTGAGTCTCACTCAGAGGTGTTTAATGACTCAGTGAGACTGAGAACATGTAGGGTAAGTAGCTTACCTCTTTGCCAGCACTATCACTATGCCAATTTCCTAATTATGTTTTCTCCTGTGAGAAAGACCCTAATTTTAGCACTGTGTGCTTCCCAGGATTCTCCTGACTGACACCTGCTTTACTCCAAATGTTATTTTTTGGGGTCCTATATCCCATACAAGGTAGTAAAAACATCTTTCCTCTTTTAGAGAAGGACAAAGATGATGGGAGGTTAGTGGCCTGCTGAGATTCACACCACCCTGTGGAACAGGCAGGAGATAAATGAAATTTAGGCATCTCTTGATCAGCTCACAGTTGAATTATAGCTTAGTAAGGTGAAGCAGTTAAGTCTATCTTCCATTACATGAGCAGGGAGCTGTGTGGGGGAGGGTGTTTGCATGTAACGTAATTTCCTTGTCTTCTCTGCCTTGCTTGTGTGCACGAGAATGACATTTAGTTCTGGTAATTTCAAATAGTTTCCTTGTTTTTTGTTTCCAGAGTGTGAAGCTTTGGAGCCCACAAACAGGTATAAGTTTAATACTGGGATAAACTATCTTTGGAAATAATGCCTGCTTTTTCCTGAAGCTGCTTTAGTAAATATTTAGGATCTGTGCTCAGTACAACAGATATTTTGTGTTCCTATATATTCTACAACTGAATAGTTTAAACAGAATCAGCAGTTCTGCAGGCAAATTAACTGGTAGTTTTATATTTCCTAACCAGCTTCTGCCTCACCCTGTACCTGATCATGCCCCTTGCAGCCTCCTCAGGCCAAGGATTGTCTCATCCTGTGCTGCATGTTGTGTCTCCTGTGAGATGATTGACATGTGCTGGCTAGAGAGCTGTGGACTTCTCAGTGAACTGAGATTTTTATATATAAATAAATAAATAAATGAATGAATATTTATATATTTAATATTTATATATATAAATCTAGGTAACCAACTCTTGTATCTTGGCTTTCTTAGAGAAAAGGGATCACTCTAACTCTCCTCCCCCGCTCCCTGAGAGAACCCCGGAATCATTTGTTCTTGAGGACACAGCAAGTAAGTGAGGAGTTATTTTCTCAGGCTGTAACTGAGATTTTACACTCACACCCAAACCTATAGGTAGCTGAGAAGATTGTGGCCCCCTTGATGAGAGCATCAGCAATGGTAGTGCTTCAGAACTTAACTGCAGGACAGTTTAGCAGATACAAAGAAAGTAAATGCAATTAGGGGACCTGCTGGAAATGTCTAGAACTGCTGCATTAGAGGAAATGAAACGCAGCAACAAGGCACTTAGAAAAAAGCAGGATTCTTGAATGACCACTGAACATACTCTGATGTCTGATCCCAGGTCTGCAGCCTGCTGCAAGAAATTCTGCAACAAGTTTTCCTGTCTTGGAGAGCAATGCTTCTGAAATGTCACAAAAAGAGCCCATGAAAAGCTTCAGGAGAAGCAAGGTAAAAGAAACAAAACAAACAAAAGCTATTGAGAACAGAGGTGGTGAGAAGAGCTACAACTATTGCTGCTTCCTCACTCCTAACCTGGTGAAAATGGCCTGTCTTGAGGCTGCTGGTATTTAGGGCAGGGAAATAAGACTCATAACAATATTTTGTTGCAGAACTGCCAACAAAACCACTGCAGTAGGAAGAGAGGACTACAGCCATACCCCGTGAATGGCTGTGCCTCGGCACATTGTCCACAGGAGGTGCCAGTTCCTCTGGGAAAAAGATGCTTGAGGAAGCTGGAATTCCTGTGCAGGACAGACCACATCTCATCTGGTGCTCATCACCAGTCTCCTCTTACTGTGGCCCTAGTTAATTATCCTCATGAACAATTGTACTTTGGGATGTTATGACTGAGTTGAAAAGCATTTGAGGAAAACAGAACGATTAGTACAAACTGGAGGCACTTGGGTCACCTAGAAAAAAAGGGAGAGACAAAGTGAATGGCAGAAGTCTGTGCCTCAGCCTCAGCTGCCAGGCAGGATCCTTGAGAGATGTGATACATGTTATCAGTGAGTTCCCCTTCTCATAGCAGCTGATCTACTGCTTGACACACTTTTTTTCCAACCAGTCTCTTTTTTTTTTTTTTTCCCCTACAGAGCTTGAAAATACTGAAAAATGTGAGAAAGAGTAAGTCTTTCAGGCTAATGCACATCTTCCTGGTGGCTTTGAGCAAGTACATAGAGAAATATGTGGGACTGCATTTCCAAGCACCTGAACGTGTCAAATGTGGATGCCCAGCACACCTGCCTGCCCTGGAGCCTGAGCAGGAGCTGCTGGGGCAGTCAGTGCCCCGTGCCTGGGCAGCAGGAGCTGTGTTAGGGACAGACACCCGAAAAGGGGAAGAGGGGCGGCGGGGGATGGAAGCCCTATCCTGGGAGTTCCTCCTTTAGTTCCCTTTGATCTAAAATTAAAATGTTTATCTTGAAAATAGGACTGCTAGAAGCTGCCAAAGGCACTTCTGAGCAGAAGTGTCCCCGGAGGATTGTGCTGCAGTCACAGTCGCTCCCAGCAGGGTCAGAGCTGCGTGTCACCAGCTCTGCCCACACGGTGCCCGCAGGTGCCACGCTGGGAAGGGACGTGTTTTCCCACAGGTGTGTCCCAGTCCAGGGAATTACCATCATGACTAACTGCTTCGGTCTCATTTTCTATTTCTAGGCATCTGTGGTCCATCTTCACTGACAAAACAACCAGAATCTGCCCCACCAAACCAGTCGAGGTCTTTCCTTAGCTTTGGTATGTTCTTCTCTTCGTGTTCTGGTGGGGGAAAATCTCTGGCTTCTGAAGGTCCAAACTGCAAACAGTACAAGTCGTGGTTATTATATTCTACACATTTACAACTTTGTTCACAAGCTGCTTAAGGAACAGGTAAGGGTGGAAAACACAAGCCCTGAGCCCGGATGGGACAAATGTTTCTCAGTGCATGAAGAGTCCAAGGTGTGTGTTTTTCCTGCACCTGAAAACAGCGTCCAAGCGGCAGCGGTGGAAGGCACAGGCAGAGCTGCAGGTTGGCCCCGGGGCTGCTGCCTCACCTCGTGGCAGAGGAGAAACACCACACGTTCCATTTTACATTTTTCTAGTAGAGAGCAGTCATTTATTGACTGGGCATACATCTAGCTATCTGAATATTCATGCTATAATGATGGTTTTTGTGATAGACACATTGATAGAGGTTTTTTGCACCAGCTTTGATTTATAGCTACAGGATGTTGCTTTAAGTCTGACATATCTTTAAAGTCTGGAAAAGAACTGAAGTGAAAGTATTTTCAAATACTGTTTTATCTTAAGGAATTACATAAGCAACATCTATAACATACATATTTTGTTGCATTAAAAGAAAAATTATTTCTTTCTAGGCTTTGCAAATCGATTTTCAAAACCTAAAGGACCAAGAAATCCACCCCCAGCATGGAATATTTAGATATGTTCTATAGATTGGGCATGACAGATCTGTGGAGTTCTTCTGGTATGCCTGGAGTGCTCATCCCAGAACAGTTTCCAAAAAAATAAACACATAGAAGCTGTGGCAGGATACACACAGCTCGGGCACTACTTGCACATTCTTCATCAACTGAAGTTTTAAAGTAAAGAAGAATACAGAAGTACCAGCAGCCAAGCACTTTCAGTTAATCTACAACAGGATGGGAACTGAGAACACGAACAGGTGTTCTACCCTAAGGAGGGACGTGGTTTTTGTTGTGCTTTGGATGGATCTGAGGCAGCCTAACCTGGTGACGGGATCCAGCACTGAAACACCCGGAAGGCCAAGGGAACAGCCAAGGCAAAAGGTGACACATTTGTGGAACTTCACTGGCATCTGGGGCCACATCGCCAAGGACCTGCACTGCCATAAGTGTTTGCATTGCTGGGACTACAGGAGAATTGCATCTCAGATTTTAGAAAGAATTGTTGAGGTTTTTTCCTTGGTAAGACCAAGCTGATGGTCATACAGAAGCTGAACCAGCGTAGGACTGTGGAACTGGCTGACCCAGCTGCCCTCACTATCCGAAAACCAAACACCCTTGTGTTTTTAAAGCAATGCTGGTGTTGGGGATGTGACTCTTCAGCACCTAATTTCAGACGGGTGTCTCAGATGTGATTTCCAGACAGGTTTCCCCAGCGGGTTCCTCCTGCCCACACCTCGGCGGGAGGAACCTGCTGCATGGGATTATCTTCCTGTAGAGAGAGAAAAACGGAAAGGGCTGGTGGGGAGAGGAGCTACTGGCGGCTACTGGAACAGAGAGCGGTTTATGACGTGACCACCGCCGCACAACCCGCGGGACCTGCGGCTCCTCCGCCCCGCGCGCCGCGCGACACGTGACACGCATGCGCCCGCGGGCGGA